GTGGGGGGCTCCCCTTTGACTTTGTTTGTCGGAAGATTGCAAAAGGTGATCAAATAACCCAAGACACTGCAACTGTCATAAAATATGAACTAGTTGCCAAGTGTCTAAATTTTGATCATATGACTGAGGGGTTGCTGCAGCTGTGTAAATGAATAGTTGTAAGTCAAGGACTACCTGTGTACACATATTAATCTCCAGTTAAATAAGGTAAGGCTTATCCTATACCCACACACCTTTGTATCATCATGGTTGAATTGTAGTTATCTAGTAACATTCTCATTAGTTTTATTTTATATCCTGTCTTGACTATTTTCATAAACAGCTCAAGGTACTGAACATTTCTAATACTCCCTCTTCTAAATTTCTCCACAAGGACAATCCTGTGAGCTGAATTAGGCTGAAAAAATGATTGGCCCTTGGTCACCCAGTTGGCTTTCATACCTAAGGTGGAATTAGAACTCACAAACTCAGGATTAGTTCATAATAAGGACAAAAAGTTGATTTTATAATTATAACTGATACAAAAAGAAATTAAAGATACTGAATTCTAGAAAAAAAACATAAGCATTCATCATAATACACATTGAAGTATTTGCTTAGCTCAACATTCTTATATGCAAGAAGTAGATGTAGAAAAGCTTTGACCCATTTCTCATTACACTAAAATTTCACATTATCTAATGATATGAAATTCAAATTATAGAAAAGGAAACCACATTTCACACAACTTCTAGTTCAGCTATGGAACTTACTACCTTAACATGGATTATAACTTAATTAGTTGTAAAACTGAACTTGACAAATTCACTGAAAATAGTAACTATTTCTCATAATAGTGATATATTACATCCTAGATTCAAAGGAAAAATTAGACACGCAATCCAGGGAAAAGCACTCATGTAAGGTGAATGATGCAAATCAACAACTTCCTAATTTTAACAACCTTAAAGGGAGACAGGTAATTTTTCAGAAATAAAACCCCCGGCACACTTGTTTCCATTTTAGGAAACTGGACCTTTGGAATTAACAGTGTCAGATTTTATCAGCAAAAGGGTAGGCAATTTGACTTCCACTAAGGACCGGCTATAATTATTAAAGTAAAACAGCTGCAGTGTTACACATTATGCTGTGGCTTTACAATTGAACAAAATGCTAACTTTTCAGAATGAACTTGACAGATTTTCCTCATTTATTGCTAACCTATGTTCAATCTAAATGGCCCATAAGAAAGTACTTATTTTTAAGCATTAAACTATTTCTGGATCCAGACCATGTTAATTATGCTTGAATGGGTCAATGTCAGAAATGAATTATAATTATGTTTCACTGATTGGTAATAAAACAATTGATCAACAATGATTGATAGCTGTGATTTGCTAACTTAGCTCCATCTATATAATTTCAAAGCACTTGCTACTCAAATTATAAAGAATTTCATACTATTGCTCAACTATGCCACTAGGTGGCTCCTGTGCATGTAATTAAAGCACCATCATAGCAGCAATTTCACATATAAAGAAACGATATAGGTCTATCCACTATGACAAATATGCTTACATGAACACTGCTACCTTATATCTTAGCTACTATATAAGGATATAAAAACAGAAGCATTCTTATGCTACTCTTATACGGCCATACTGAGCATGAATTCTGAGTTATTTATTCTGTCTTAATACAGAATTTTATGGTGCCTTTTCTATGTTTTAAAAGTTATTGTTCTTAAAATGTTTTAATAAAACACTTTTGAAGCATACTGCTCATGCATCTATAATTGAGAAATCAGTAAGTTTTATTTTATAATTTTACTTTCTTTTTAATTTATCTGAAAATGTATGGTTTAAACATATAATTATATATTTTAAACAGATGAGGGGATAGTCACAAAGAGGAGGATTGAAAAACTCATATGGCATCCACATCCAGAAAATCAAATTCCACTCTTTTATTTATTCATTCATTTTATTTTTAAAGCAGGTCCTGGGGGGCTCACTTTTATGAGTTGATAGTCAACTGGATGACCCTACAAATAAAATAAATAAAATAAATACATGATCCAATAACGTGAAGTCCATGCATTGGAGAGGTTGTTTACATAGTAACTAAGCGAGCAACTCATTCTGGGTTAGCCAGAATAAAGAAGGAATAAAAACATAATAACGAAGGAACCTAAATAATTAAAGTACTACTCAACTTATGAGCAGAATGGAGACTGCTAATTATGGTTGTAAATTGTGACAGCTGTTAAGCATATCATCATGTGATCAGCCTGATTTTTAAGAATGTTTTTGTTAAGTAACCACGATGACTGTTAAGTGAACTCATTGTTTGCTATGGATATTTTTGCCAAAAACTAGAAGTAGTAGTTTTCAGCAAAAATGCTGTAAACTGTGGTCACATGACTGTTGGAGGGCAGCCATAAAAATTCAGAACTCTGTCATAAGTATTGGGAGGGGGGGGGCTGTAGTCTGTCATAGCTTTACTAGCTGTATCCCTATTATTTCTTTGTAGAAAGTCAAGGTGATCAAATATAGTTACCTTAATTTTCATGAGACTCACTATACTCACTGCTAAATGAGTAGACTTTTTAAAAATATATCCAATGGCCAATAAACATTTATTTGATCAGTATTTGGTATTGCTATCTTGCATCTACCATCAAGAGCAACTCCCTCTTTTTTAATTTACTCCAGTTTTGTCCCTTTCAATCTCTTGAACACATAGGCTTCCATCTTTTTCAACTGCCAATATTTACCTCATAATTCACAGCATCTAAAACTAGCATCTAAATTTCATTTTTCCACCCATGTACAGCCAAACCTAAGTTGCTATTTATTCCCCTCAAAATGAATAATATCAGATTCTTTTAAGGTAGCATATGCTGACATCGTTCACTATTAATACATCCACCTGGGACAGACCCAAATACAGAAAATCACTAAAAGCAATATCCTCTCTATCTTAGCCTCTACTTTCATCTGCTTCACATTCTTCATAGAGATGTTGTCAAGGATGCAATTTCCTGGCTTCAAAAAAAATCCTGACTAGGTCTTGTAATTAGTTTGGGGTAATAAAAAAAGTAGAGTTGACTTCTTCTCAGTTAAGTCTAAGAGAAGTTTTTCTTTTTTCTCCCAACAATCTGTTGCAATGTTTTAATGATATTAGGTAACTTGGAAATAGTATTTGTTCCAGATACAATACCTAAGATCCCTGCCTAGGGCCTAGCTGTTCACCAAGACAGAAATAAAGATGTGGAAAAGGTAACGGTCCTTTAAATTACGCTTAGAGATGTTTGCCTACATCAGATCTGTTAGTTTGGGAAACAAATTGGTTTGAATTTTATCTATCTTAATGTGTTCTTTTTAAATGCTTTATTGTGTTTTTGGATGTACTAAACCATAAGGAATCCTGCAGCATACAAGCTTAATTAACATTAAGTTAAAAAGTTATTATTTGTCCACGTGTACCAGTATGTTACCAGTTTTAATTGATGGCATCAGTTAAAACTGGCTTCCATGGACTTTTATTGGCTTCTTCTGATATGGATTTATTATTGTCTTTATGATTCTAAGGATTCAAAGACAAGACCCTGGTAAGACAAAGGGAGAGATTTTCTCTAGATATCTTCAATTATTCTGTAGCATTTTCAATCCAAGGCATTTCTGTATATGAGTTAAAAATGAAAAAAAATATGGACACATTTCTTCATAAAGTGTATTGAAGAGCCTATTGTCACCAAGGGAACAAGATGAATTTGACATTGAGCAAACACTGTATTCTCATAATCGGACATCATGATAACGTGATATAGTACAGGGGTATTAAATCACAGTGTCACATTGTTGTCACGTGACATATTGCAACTCCCCCCCCCCTTTCGCTTTTTTCCTCCCCTTTGGGGTGCGTGTGGTGAGCACATGACACATCTGACCTGTGGGCCGCAATTTTGATACCGATGATCCCGAATAACTTTGAATGACTTATTTAGAGAAAATCCTAAACTGTAATTTTCATATCTGTCCTTAAATAAAAATATCCCATTAAGGTTCAGGTAGTCCATCTGATTTATGGACAACTCATATCTAGGAACAGTCTGCCTATTAGTAAAAATGATGGACAGCATTCTTCTTTGAGCCAATGAACTGCTGAAGCTGTGCAGTTTTTCCGAACTGCTTAGTATATTTATAATATATTAAACATATATTATATATATTTATATAATTATGTATATGTTGTACATTATAATATATATTGTATATATAAATACATTAAATATATATTTAATATATAGCCTGTTTCAGCAGTTTGTGAAAACATTGTGTGACTTCAGCAATTCATTGCCTTGAGGAAGGTGCACTTACATACAAATCTGAGTTAAAGACAGACTTGGGAACAAATGTCATTCTTAACACAGGGACTGCCTGTATAATGTTTAACTCTACTTACATATAATATGCTAGTACTCTTATAATAATTTTCAATTTCATAATGATTATAAAATATTTTTAATATCTACAACTGAATATGATTAAAGCTTGTCAGAGTTAGAGTTAAGGGCAAAAGTCGAAGACTTGCAGAAATGTAGATATTTCCCAGGCTGCTAACTACTCTGAATTCAGCAATTGTAATTTTTAAGGTTATATGTATTTCTTTCATGAGCTGTATAACTTTCCAATCAGTATCTTTATATACAGGTTAACATAAAATGTTATGTAAATTACTTTTGAGTAAAAGATAGAAGAAAAAGTAAAGTTTTGCCCATTCTTCAATTCATGAATGGACAGGGAGATTATTTTTCTTGTCTTTTAATACTAAATTTTACAAGAGGAAAAAGGCAAATACTTGGGAGTCTTATTGGTAGGCAGAAAATGCTACACAGCTTATGCACATGTACAAATTTCGTATACAAATTAAATAACACTACCAATATTTCATACATATATTCTAAGTATTCACAAAAAAGTGGAAAGTTAAATAGAAATATAAGACAGAAAACATACCACTTTTATTTCCATTCTCTTCATCCTGTAAAAGATGCAGAAAAATCCAGAGTCACTATTTTTTTATTACAACCCTCTTATAACTGCAAAAGATTTTATTCATAATTCATTTCACTCACTTTTAAAGATACCTGAATAGCAGATTCTGGGGGGTAAACAATAAAATGCCTTAAGGTAAAACCAAAACCCATGGGTGATCTTCGTAAAACTATCAGTTTGAGTCCAGGCCAAGACAAAGTTTCTTCATCATCTTCTGATAATGACCCTGCATCACACTGCCTTTTTTCATCTTCATGTTTGGATACCTAGTAAGAGAAAGAGGGGAAAAAAAACCCAGTTTAATATCTTTAATTTCATGTAGTACATTATATTTTTGGAAGCAGTTTTACTCAGGGAAATGGACCTGTGGAAACGACTCTTATAAATCATTGTTATTCTGTTGTTGTGTTATATAACAAGCTGTGCTTTGATCACCACATTTTGATTCTGTTTATCAGTTCACTTTATAGTCATTTTATAATATAAATGAAACAGATATAAGAAAATTATATACTGTTGTTTCTACCTTATCCTAAACTACATAATACCACAAAACTTTGGTTAGCTTTTTGTTCCCAGTAAAGATTTCTCAAGTGTCCTGGCTCAACCCTTAATTTTAAGATGTTTCACATTCTAGCATGACTTATATTGTCAAGAGCTCTCTGTAGTCAATAAAGCATAGAAAAAAACTCCTTTTGTTCTATCTCCTTATGCTATCTATCCAATGTCGTATTCCTTTGTGTTTTACAAAACCCATTTGTTCATTCTGCATGTTCCTCTCTTGAATGCCTTTATTCTTATTTGTAAAATCTTAAGCAAAATTGGTGCAATGGTTCAGTAATTTTAACAATCCTCTGTATTTTATTTTATTCTATTTTATCACATGTTTACACTGAGCAGCTCACAATAAATCATAAAAACCTACATTTCACATAGTTTCATAGCTTCTTATCCTATAGCTTAAACAATCCAAAGGATAGTTCATCTGTAACTAACATTTTTATAGTTGATAACTGGTCATACTGAGTCTTATAAAACATTTTCCAATGATGTTAGTTCCTGAACTAAATCTCTCTTTCATTCTATAATAATGTTGGAAATGTTACATCATCTTTTCATCTTTTTAAAAATCTCAAATGCCTTTTTAAGTAACTTTTATAATTACATTTGAATTATCCTACCTTAAGCTTTAAAAATTCTATAAGTTCTTAGTTCTTAAACAGTTGTTTTCCATGTTACTTTTCCTCTTTTTGCTGTCTTAATTAAATCCTTCATTATTCCAGGTTTTGCATTTAGCACTTGGTACCACTATATTCTTTTTAGATGTAGCCTTGTAATTTGTATAGAATTCCACACTGTCTTCCACAATTATATCTGTATTAGGTGTAGACACTTGCATAACATAACATTAATGTTCACTATATCCACTATTTTAATAGATATTATCCTGTCATTTGTTAGATTATAGCCAAGCCTTCTAAGTATCTGCTATTCTGTTCCTTCAGATAAGCCTATATCTTGAATAGTAAGAATGTCATCTGATTTGGATTCCAACTCTATCTTTTTTCAATTTTTCTGAAGTACAGAAAGTACTTTAATTTAATGCAACTTGATTATATATTGAACCAATTAATTTGATTTAAAAAGTTATACTCTAGCATTTTGATTATTTAATCAAATGTTCTGTATATAAGTATATGCCGTCTTGATTCATTTTTCTAGTTAGTAATAGTCAGGGTCAAAGGATTTCCCTCTTGGCATGCTTCCAAGATTCCTAGGCATTTGGAAGGAAACACCTTGAACTGCAATGGAAACTATGGCAAGGTGTACTGTACTATAGTACAAAACTACTATAATCTCACCCTCCCACACAAAGAAACAAGGATTTTAGTGTTTACCTTGTAGAAGAATAGGTAAAATTTAATTGCAAGTTTAAGGATAAGTTTAAAATCAACAGAACTACTGATGCAAAATCAAATATTAAAGAATCAATATTATTTGAAGGCTCGCTGAGTCTCCATTTAAAGATTAAATAGTCTATTTTAATGTATCTATGAATGCTCTCTACCCAAAAGAATGCATTTCATATTTCATCATATTTCAAAACAGGGCTGTGGGACAGGCTATCTTTAGATGCAGTAAGGGTGAAAAAGTGTCATTTTACTGCCCTTATCACTATTAGATAATCTTAACAGGAGCTTTGCTCTATTGAATTTGTCCCTTGTTAAATGCCAGGAGCATTCTATACATCTCTTCTACCATTTCATCTCCTTCATCTCTTCTGTGAACCATGGAGAATGATGGGATCCACAAGAAGGCAGATGTTAGCCAATCCAAAACTCTTGTGGCAACCAAGGATTCAGCCGGGCAGTGCAGTAGACCAGCAGGACACTTTCCAAACTCTCTCTGAAACCCATCCAGGTCCATCAGTTGTGAGCACAGACTTATCTAATAGCTCTCGTCCCTGTAGTGAATAGTGTGCCAGAGAACCTCATCGTGCATGATCTGACTATGACAAGGGGGGAGGCACCAAAAGCTTCCAGATCACATTGCCACTGCTCCATTAAGAAAGCCAGATCAACTATACAACTGCTGTCTTGTTTTGGGTCCTGGATTACATGGGATAGGCCCACAGGTGTCATAGCGACTATGAATTCCTGAGCTGCCTCTGATCCTAGTCTTAAAGAGGATGCCACTTAAGACCCTTAAGGCCCCAAAAAGCAGATTATCACTTATAACGTGCTTGAACCCAACAAAATGAACAGGATATCTAATTTAGCACCTGTGGAGCAACATCCTTGGAATGAAATCCTTTTAAAAGATATTTAAAAAGTTGGAGCAATGCAATAGATGACTTTGCGATACTTTCTCATTAGGGTGACAAAGTTACACTATCTAGTAACTATAGGTCCCCCAAAAATCCAAAAAGCATTTTTGATCTTAGGTTAATGCGTTCACATGGTTACCATTTTCATAGTTGAGAGATAAAAAGAAACTAACTTTAGACATTGAGAAACCAGAATTTCCAAACTATTCTCATGAATTTCCAATAAGAATTTCCAAGCTATTTCTAATGAAGAATATTTGGGTTGCATAGAAAAAGAATTGACTATAATTGAAGTATGAAATATATATTTACAGTTTTTAAAATTTAGAATAAATGTCATCTCTAGCAGTTACATGTTACATTATATAAATAAAACAAAATTAAAAAAATAAGATAAAATGCTTCTTTTAATATATGATAGGATAGGCATATGTAGGTTTTCTAAACTGTAATTCCATCATGTGTGAGAACTGTCATGGATTGTCTTATAAATACAATAGTGCAGGTTGATCTACAGGAGGGAAGATTAATATCCCTGTAACAGAAATATTAAAACTGGTTGTCAAAATGTGGAAATTAATTATTTATTCTTCTAAGTAAGTATAGTATATTCCGGATTGTCTTCTTTTACAAGAAGTATATTGCCATTTTTCTTTTTCCTTGTATAGGTAGCAACTGATTCTAAATCCTAAAGATTTAATCTAACATATCTGTTTTAGACTGAGATCGGGGGAGATAGTTCTATAGTACAATAGTAAACAAAACTCTTTGAAACTGCAAGATACCGTATTTCCCCATGTATAAGCACCCCCTTTGTATAAGCCACCCCCCCAATTTTTGGACTGTGAAGTTTTGAAAAAAATATTTTATTAGAGAAACAAGTTATGAAGAAAGGAAATTTACAAAGAAACAAAATTCGACGTCTAGATCTACAACTTCGGTCATGACGCCGAAAGCGGTGCGGGCGATGCTAGCAATCTACGCATCGGAACGAGAGTAGGAACGAAGCATTCAGGCCGATGCCTAGCGTATGCATTTCTATCGCGTACTCGCACTCGTAATCTTATCATCATGTACAATTTTTACAAAAAAGTATTGCATACTGCTGGAAAACCAGTTTATTCCTACTTTATTATTTTATGCATTTGTCACGTATAAAAAGTGTACCTGCTTTGTATATGCCACCCCCCTACTTTTTGGGCTTGAAAATTTTGGGAAAAAGGGGTGGCTTATACATGGGGAAATACGGTAACTAAAACTGCCTGTCGAAAACATGCATAAAAGTATTGAAAGATGAACAGCATCAATTCAGTGTCACTATCTAATACTTCAACTGCTCTTCACATTCATTTTTCATTAAAATGGCTACTTTGAAGTTTGTGATTTTGTGACTGTTGAATTTAAAATGGCCATCAATGGTTCTCTAATGATGTTGATCTTCATCAAAACATAAAAACTGTACAACTAAGTTTTGAAAATGTAATATAAGGGAAATCCATACATAAACAACCATTTATGAAAGATAAAAAAGGTAATAACAATGGTGCAGGCATTTTGTTGGTCTAGCAAAGGACTTCTGGTTATGAGTATTTTGATCGGTTGTCTCAGGCAGAATATAGCCATCCCCCCCCCCTTTTTTTTTGCACAAATGGACAAAGCTTACCCATTACTTGCTATTAGAACCTGCTTCTTATAGGCTACAGTCAGGGTGAATAAACACCTGGATTAGCTTTTGTTCCCTGCTTCAAGGGAGTCTACGTCACAACACAAAGGATCACCACGCCCAAGTGAGGACAGAATGTCTACTTGGACAATGGTCTTTGCCACTATATGAAAAAGAATGCCCTGCCCCTCTTTCTATAATGGAAGCAACAATGTGTGCAAGAAAAAGGACAGAATGATTTAAAAAAAAAGACCCACACAAGAGATGTCTAAGTAAAATAGGCCTAATACCTTTTTATGGCTTTGCACTGTGACTTCTAAAGCATAATCAACTGTTAATATTAATTAACTGAAGCTTTGTGAGGTAACAATTAGAAAATAAATGCTTATATTACTGTATGAAGCTGTAGAGTGAGTTATAAAACCAAAACCTTCTCCATTTCCTGAGCAGTACATGGGCAAAGTTCTAGCTGGTAAGTTAAGCCACACTTTAGTGCAGCCCATCAACTTTGTCAAATTCAACTTAGATTGCTTGTCTCCCATATACTCTCTCATACTTTTCATGAGGGACAGGCAACAATAATTATCACTCTTAATGCAGAGACTACCACCCTTCAGCCCTTAACATCCATCCTTTCAGTGCTTATGCATACACCAACACAAAATCTGTTCCTTACTTAAGTTCAGTTCTGCCGTTTAAAATTCAAAATTATTTTTAAAAATGTATCATTTGCTCTGAAGCAAAAACAGTTAACTTTAGTAACATCAGATTTCAGC